AGAATATAAATTCTTGAGAACCAAAGGCTTGTGGAGTTTATTAAATGATGTTGAGTGATCGACTATACCAAGAAAACTTACATGATGTAAAATGTCTTTAGAGATTGTCATTATCAATTTATATTATTTAGGTATCAATTTTAATCATTTACACAATTTTATTTTCTAAAAGGGATTGCTATTCTGTTTCCTATTAGAGAAACAGAAGTTTTTTTTTTTTTTTTTTAGACTGAATGGGTCTGTGGAATTTTTTTTTTTTTTCTTTTTTATTGCCAGGAACATGTGTAGAAAAAAACAGAAGTTTTTTAAACATAGTAACAAAACATGAGGAATTAACAAAATTTTAGTTTGGAATCAAACTCAGTCATATACTGTAATTTCCAGTTAACCTTAAATAATTTATCACAAACTTACTTTTTTTATTTTTTTTTTATTTTGAGACAGAGTCTCACTCTGTTGCCTGAGCTAGAGTGCCGTGGCGTCAGCCTAGCTCACAGCAACCTCAAACTCCTGGGCTCAAGCAATCCTTCTGCCTCAGCCTCCCAAGGAGCTGGGACTACAGGCATGCGGCACCATGCCCAGCTAATTTTTTCTATATATTTTTAGTTGGCCAATTAAATTCTTTCTATTTTTGGTAAAAACAGGGTCTTGCTCTTACTCAGGCTGGTTTCGAACTCCTGACCTTGAGCGATCCTCCCACCTAGGCCTCCTAGAGTGCTAGGATTACAGGCGTGAGCCACTGCGCCCAGCCTCCTGATGCTTTTGATTAGTGTTTCCTCAGCCTGTTTGTTACCCATTTATGATTATTTCTGTAATTTTTAATGCTCTAATTGGAGGACAAAAAAATTAAAGGGACAATCTACAGGAAATGGCAGGATCCCTCAGGGGATCTTGATGACCAATAAGTGTATGACCAATAAGTGTTCCATGGATCTTAGTTTAACAGAACATTGGGGCTGGGCGCAGTGGCTCAGGCCTGTAATCCTAGCACTCTGGGAGGCAAAGGCCAGAGGATTGCTGGAGGTCAGGAGTTGGAGACCAACCTGAGCAAGAGCGAGACCCAGTCTCTACTAAAAATAGAAAGAAATTAATTGGCCAACTAAAAATATATAGAAAAAATTAGCTGGGCGTGGTGGTGCATACCTGTAGTCCTAGCTACTTGGGAGGCTGAGGAAAGAAGCTCTAAAATATTTCTTTGCTTATAAAATTTCTTCTTATTTCTAACATTGCCTCTAGCTGCTTGAAATTCTGTTTAAGAAACTTTTTCTGTGAAATGTTGGTAAAAGTCTATAAATAGAGTCATTTAACTATGGGAATCAGTTCATATCAGATTTACTTTTTCACAATAATAGCATTTCTGAGTGCAGTCAGCACACAACTAAAACATAAAACATAGGATTATAAGCTTCTGGAATCTCATTTTTAAATATTCTTTTGTTAGCATTCTTTGAAGGATTTTGAATACATTTGCTTTCAATTCCTTCCTGTTAGACAAGAAGGGTGAATTAAAGACTGATTCTAGCCACAACTCTAAATTCCCTGCCTTGTACGTTTGCATAACCCTTTACAATTATTTTAAAATATATTTTGTGGTTTGACTATGGTTTCTCAAGAATCTAGTACTTAAATATCATGTGTGTGAGTGTTAGAAATTACTATAGCAATGTAGTTTGTTGTCACAGTTGCTTTAGCTTTATTGCAAGCCATTTAAAAAATCACATTTAAAAACCTTTTTGTCATTTCTCTGTGTGTGTTTTTTTAACAAGCAAAAATGTGACTCACCTTGATAATTCTGTTTCTCACTGTTTTCTGCCAATCCTGAGACCAAAATTCTTGCTGTTTCTTGTATAAATTTAGTAATTTCCTGACCACATACCTTTGCTCTGGCTGTTTCTTCTCTTTGGAATCCTATCCTTAGCCATGATCAAGTCATACCTATCTTAAAGGGCAATATATAAAAAAAGAAATTAATTCTCTATTGTAGTTGAAAAATTTTGCTGTCCTCTGAAGTCCCTTTTGTATTGTCTTTTTCTCCCTTAGATACCTTGTATTTTCTATCTTGTATTTATTTATGTACATATTTTATATTCTCAATAATACTTTCGATTCTATTAGTGAATGACCTGTAATGTTGGGAAGAATATGTTAATATGTATAGTGCCTACAATAAGATGTACTTTAAATATTCAGTAAAAACAAATAAAAACCCTATTGGCCGGGCGTGGTGGCTCATACCTTTTAATCCTAGCACTCTGAGAGGCCGGGGCGGGCAGATCACTCAAGGTCAAGAGTTGGAAACCAGCCTGAGAAAGAGTGAGACCCCATCTCTACTAAAAATAGGAGGAAATTAATTGGCCAACTAAAAATATATAGAAAAAATTGGCCAGACATGGTGGTGCATGCCTGTAGTCCCAGCTCCTCGGGAGGCTGAGGCAGAAGGATTGCTTGAGCCCAGGAGTTGGAGGTTGCTGTGAGCTAAGCTGATGCCATGGCACTCACTCTAGCCTGGACAACAGAGTAAGACTCTGTCTCAAAAAAAATCCAAAAACCAAAACCTATTATGTAAAACAAAATCCAAATATATAGTTCCATCATTATACAATATATATATTATCGAAACATCACACTATACCCCACAAATATGTACAATTATTATGTGTTAAAAACAGCAAAACTTATATAAAAAAGAAATATATAGTTCTTGCCAAAATAATAATAATTTTACTGATCTTGATTGTGTTTTTAAGTGAATAAATCTCTTAGTAATTTAAGAGTGATAAGCAAGTATGGATTGCTCTCACCTTCAACAGTTTCTGGTTGGTGCTACCATATTGGGGAGGGGATAAGGTCAGTTCATGGCCAAGGAGGAGGAGGAAGAATGGCTTTAAATATCATTTAGTAAGCCAGTGACTCCCAAAATATATCTGCAGTTCTAACCCTTCTCCCACACTCCAGATTCAACGGCTTGCTTGACATCCCATTTGAACATCTATCAAATACTTTAAATTTAACAAGTCTCAAAGTAAAGTTCTAATTCCCACTACAACCTCCCAACACCCACTTCAGCAACATGGACTATCTTAGTCTTCTCTATCTCAATTGATGGCACTCCAACATCCCAATCACTTAGACCAAAACCGTGGCATCATCCAGACTCCTCTTTTTTTCTCACTCCACATCCAATTTGTCAGGAAATTCTGTTATCACTATCTCTAAAATAAGTTCAGTTTCCAGCAGTTTCTGTACTGCTGCCACTGTGGTTGCAGACCATCTTCTCCAAACTAGGTATTAGTACAATGGCTTTAAATGGTCTCTTAGTGTTTGTTCCCCTTATTTGGTAATTTGACAGGAATTTATTTTAGACTGCTTTATAATGTCTGTGGTGTGAAATCTCAATATATTGAATAGCTTCTTTTGCCAAGGAAAGTATTTTTCTGCCTTGTTTGAGTTCTTTTCTAGCTGGATTGTGTATTGTTTGTTCATGAAATACCTAGGAAGAGGCTTTTAACAGGCCATGTGTAAAGTGGCTACAAAAGGCAACAATATATCTAGCATTACCAGGTATATGTTGTGACGATTTATTTAAGTGCCATAAGAATTGTGAGCCATGTTTCAGCCATCTGATATATGGTTGTTAAGGCTTCTAGCTCCACTACAGTGCAATGTAAGATGTGCTTACTAATTAAAAGATGGCATTCAAACACATTTTTCTTCCTTGACAGTTATTAAAGACATGTCTCAGATTCACAAAAATGCAAGGAACTTTTTAATCTTTAGAGGAGGAAAGAATTTTAATAGTTTACTTTTTTTTTTATATATAAGTCCAATTCTGATGATCTTGACCATAGGTAGAAGTTAAAAAGTCATAAAAGATGATTCAGTTCTGATGAAAGTTGTTTTCAGGAAAGCATAGATACTGTATGTACATTTGATAAACTGTCCCATAAACTTCTGTCAATTTCTTATCATTTGACATGCAGTGATATCAGTCTAACCTAGATTGAATGACGACATTGGCAGTAACAGACCGTTCATGACTTTTCAATAGCAGTTTCTTGAATTTGTAGCCCAGTTCACCTAGCAATTATCTTAAAACCTATATTTACTTAATTTTGATATGGGAGGAAAAATAAAGTTCCTTCTAATCAGTCCATTTTGTTGAGCCTAATGTATAGCTTTACTTTTGAGGGGAAGTCTGCTGAAGTCTAAGAAATTTATTTTTGTTAATACTCTTAAGCACAAGCTCTGAGGCACTTATATAGGCAAACATTAAACAAAAAATTAAGAGACCCCTTTGATCACATTTGGTAGTACAGAACAAGTTGCCTGACATTCTACTGAAATAATGAACAAATGCAAACAAGACAAAATCCAAATTCAAGCAAAATATATATTTTGACTCAAGAAATAAAATTTTATTGTGGTTAGAAACCTTACTGATTCCAAATCTGATGAATTTTTTAAAGGAATTGGTTTCTAATCATTTCAGAACACTATCATATAAATCACAGAATCTTGCTTAACCTAGGGTCCCTAAATGGGCTAGAAGTGGATCTCTCAAACTTCAGAATATATACAGATATATGGATAATGTCCTTGAAAAAGAGAGCATAGCTTTTACCAATTTCTCAAAGGAATCCATGATCCAGAAGAAGTTTAAGAACTACTGATCCTTATCTATATATATCTATGTATCACTGTTAGGAAACACTTGAACCAAGTTTAATTCTATGACCAACAATGAAAGTTCTCTACTTTTTAGGATCTGCCATCCAGGTTTTGAAAGGTTAAACCTAATCAAATGTTGTTAATAATGCTAGCAGTTGTATTTATATGAAACCCACACTTTTTGTAGCATGTTGATTTCGTGTATGTAACTACACATTAACATCTATACAAATAGGCTGAGATATCCATTGAAGTGATCTTTAGTTCCTCTGATTATAATTTTAAGCAATTATCTTTTTTTTCTCTTTTTATTTGGTGAAATTACAAACCAGTAAGCATAGCTGATCCTGCTGCCCTTGGCTTCATCATTTCTCCATGGTCTCTGCTGTTGCTGCCATCTGGTAGTGTGTCATTTACAGATGAAAATATTTCCAATCAGGATCTCCGAGCATTCACTGCACCAGAGGTTCTTCAAAATCAGTCACTAACTTCTCTCTCAGATGTGGAAAAGGTAACTGTTAAATCTTTTTTGTTTGATTTTGTCTTTGATTTTGATGGAGGTAGGTCAACTAAAGACAATGGGCTACCTTACCTCAACCCTCTGAAAAATCTATAGAATTTAAAATGATCATGTATTTCAAGAAGTTCATATTTATTTTATCTAAGAATTCAAAATAGTCCTGTAAAAATTTATAGAGCTAAAAAAATATGAAAAATGTTAGCCATTATTAATGCATGTTTATACATATTTATTAAATGTCTGCTATGTATAAAACACTGTGTTCATGAGGAAAATACAGAAGTAAATAGAAAGTTGACTCCAATTAATGTATGTAGAACAATCTATAATATATGGCAGGATGAAACAAAGGCTATGTAAAGGATAAAGTGTTTTGAGAGTCTGTATTAGGAGCAGTTAATTTTAAAAATAGAACAATATCACAGAGAAGGTAGCATTTATGTTGGGCTATGAAGAATGAGTAGAATTTTGAAAAGTGAAAATAGGTAGAAGGGCCATTCCACTCAGAGTCATTAGTCTGGGCAATGACAAGAGGTAAGAAATTGTTCACCGTGATTGGGGAATGGTTGACCAGTTAGGCTCGAGCACTAGATACGTGGAAGGATGTGGTTAAAGAAAGAAAGGGAGGCTGTAGGTCAAAATGAAGAATAAGGAATGTCAGGACTTGAGACTTTCTTCTCAGGCAGTGGGAATCTATCATATTTTTAGAAGCATAATATGATGATTTGTGATTTTGGAAGTTAAGTTTGACAAAAGTGGATAATGAGGGGAGATGGAAGATTTTGTGGAAATCTAATTGGGGAGGTTTAATATTCTGTGGAAAAGAAGTGAAAATATTAATAGTGTGATGCCTTGGGAATATAAAGCAGCAGATGAAGGGAACACAGTGGAAGCAGTACTGACAGAGTTTGGCAGTTCTTATGATGGAATGATGAAGAAGAAGGGAAAGTTATGATAGAAATAATCAAATATGACTATTTGATATCATTGACTTTGAAAGTTTGACAGTTGATGTCTCTGACATTTCAAAATTGTTTTTAGAGCAATTTTTGTGAAACCGTGGATAAGTCAAAAATTCATGTTATTTTCAAATATGAGTTCCATCATGGAACCAATGCTGCACAGACACTTGAAATATCAACCAAGTGTTTAGAAAGGATGTGACTAATGGATGCATAGTACGTTGATAGTTTGACAAGTTCCATTCTGGTGATTTTAATCTTGAAAATGAGCCATGTGGGTGACCTGAGACTGAGGTGGATAATGATGAGCTGAAAGCTATAGTGGAAGCAAATCCATCTCAACCTATGTGTGAATTACTGGCAAGGTTTCACTTCACTATTCCAACAGTATTGGACCATTTGAAACAAATGGACAAGTTAAAGAAGCTGGATAAATGGGTACCGCATGAATTAAATGAGTGTCAGAAGAGAAATCGTCTCAAAGCTTGCCTTTCTTGACTATCACAACATAAAAGTGAACCATTTCTACACTGTATCATTACATGTGATGAAAAATTGATTCTTTTTGACAATCACAAGTGTTTGGCACAGTGGTTGGATAAAGATGAAGTGCTGAAACACAGTCCCAAACCGAATATTCATCCAGAAAAGCTAATGATTTCTGCTTGGTGATCCAGCACTGATATCCACTACAGCTTCATGAAACCTGCTCAGTCAACTACAGTGAATGTATACTACAACCAAATGGACAAAATGATGAGGATGCTTGTGATTAAGCAGCCAAGATTGGTCATAGAGACAGGTCAATCCTCTTGCAAGACAATGTTTGACTACATGTCACACAAACAACGCTGCTCAAACTGCAGAGGCTTGACTTGAAAACTTTCTGCCATCCACTGTATTCACCAGACCTTTCACCAACTGACTACCACTTTTCCCAGGCTTCGAACCACTTCTTACAAGGAAAAATATTCAATTCTAAACAAGCTGTGGAAAATGCCTTTCTTGATTTCATTGCCACTCGCTCTCCAGGCTTCTTCATGCTGGCATAAACAAGCTACCATTAAGATGGTAAAACTGTGTCACTAGTTTAGGTGCATACTTTCATTAATTGTACTGCTTCTTGTTTGAGATATAATAAACTAAACTCTTGATTTGAAATCGGACATTTCATATGACCTAATAGAGTCAAAAGTAAGCTTTCCTTGACTCCTTAAATTTCATTAGCACGAATTTACCACTTCTACATTGTTTAATACATAGATGCATACATATACATTCATATATCTCTTAATTCTGGGAAAGATTATACAGATTAAAGTAGTAGTTTTCAACCAGAGGCAATTTCACCTCTTAGGATATTTGGGAATGTATGGAGACAATTATGTTTGTCATAACTGAGAGGGTGGGACTGGGTATTCCTACTGGCTCATGTGATTATGGAAACTGACAAGTCCCAAGATTTTCAGGGCAAGTTTGCAAGCTGGAGATTCAGGAGAACTGATGGTGTAGTTCCAGTCCAAGACTGACAACCAGAGAACCAGTAGAACTGATGGTATAGTTCTAGTTCGAAGACTGGCAGGCTCAAAACCCCAGAAGGTTTTTTTTTTTTTTTGAGACAGAGTCTCGCTTTGTTGCACAAGCTAGAGTGAGTGCCATAACATCAGCCTAGCTCACAGCAACCTCAAACTCCTGGGCTCAAGCAATCCTCCTGCCTCAGCCTCCCGAGTAGCTGGGACTACAGGTATGCACCGCCATGCCTGGCTAATTTTTTTTCTGTATATATTAGTTGGTCAATTAATTTCTTTCTATTTATAGTAGAGACGGGGGTCTCACTCTTGCTCAGGCTGGTTTCGAACTCCTGACCTCGAGCAATCCGCCCGCCTCGGCCTCCCAGAGTGCTGGGATTACAGGCGTGAGCCACCGCGGCCCGGCCTCCCAGAAGGTTTTAGTATGAGTGCAAAGGAGAAAAAAGTTAATGTCCCAGTTCAAAGACAGGCCGAAAGAATTCTCTTTTACTCTGGGCGAGTAAGCCTTTTTGTTCTTTTCCGGCCTTCAACTGATTGGGAGGGGCCCATCTGCATTAGGAGGGCAATTTCTTTCACTCAGTCTACTGATTTAAATGTTAATCTCATCCAAAAACACCTTCACAGAAACACCTAGAATGTTTGACCAAACATCTGTCCCAGTCAAGTTGATACATAAAACTAACCATTACACTCTATATGTAGTTGATCAACAAGCATACAATTTTATAACTTAGCTTTAAGAATTATTTTATTAATTTTATACAGTCATATATAAAAATGATCATATAGTAACTCATTTGGCATATTGAAAAGTAAATATAATAAAGAATCTTAAAACACTGACCATATCACAAATCAAAATTAAGATGATTGAGAATGCGATTGATCATTTATGCTAAAGCTATGAAAAATGTTTTTCATGTATGAGACTCTTTGAAAAGGTGGTTACATATAAACCTCTTTGAAAAGAAGCCTAAAGAGAAATATGATACTAATAGTCTGCACTATGCTGTCTTGAACTTCATGCACATTTAATTGAATTCAGCAGACATGTATTGAATATCTACTATGTGTAAAATTTCTGTGTTAGTAGCTAAGAGGAACATTACGATGTGTTAAAAAAAAAAAGGCACTTTCCCTCTCAAGAAGACAAACAAGGACTCATCTAACTATGTATTAATAACAAGATAAAATTAGTTCACTGCTTTATTAGAGATACAAATGAAATGTAACTGTATAAGAATGTTTTATCCTGTTTGAAAGTATTTATTTGGCATATGTAATGGAAAAGATCATCTCTGGGTTATCAATAATGGGTAAGCTTTCACTGACAGACATGGAGAAAGAATAGTACTGGTGGAAAGAACAACTCAAAAAAAGTTGAGAAAGGGAAGGATGTATTTTGCCAACAGGAAACTATCTAGTAGTGCTGAATGAAGTGTTTCACTTATGATAGGAGAAGGAGTAATGACAGAAAGAAAACTTTAAAATCTCCTCGTAAAATGGAAGTGGAGGCATATCAGAGTGAGACTTGAATGTCATTATAAAAAATTTAAATTTTAAAAATTGAAAGCCATGAAAATAATTGGAAAGTGGAACAACTTTTATAATTTAGGAAACAATTTAAGGAGTAGATTAAAGTGCTGTGAGATTATAAGAAGGGTACCCAGTTTTATTTATATATCTCACTGATTTCTACAGAGGATTTGAGACAGTTTATAGAATTTAAAAATAAAGTGGAAAAATAGGAGAAGAGCGAGATAAAGGCAAGCAAATAAGATGAAGCTGGAGTAAGAATGGTGCAAAAAAAGGAACCGTGATAGAAATCAGTGCTGATAGAGATGGGCTAAGAGTTTAGCTCTGAATCTTTTAACAAAAGAAAAAAAGAAAAATGATTACTTATAATTAATAACCTTGCTTCCTATTTCACAGAAGAAAAGTAAAAGCAATCAGGAGAGACTATTCCCAGGATCACTCTACCAACTTACCCACATAAATTCCCGTATTCTCTGCTTTCTTACAATTCATTAACTGTCTGTGCTAGAACTTCTGTAAAGCCAGCCTCTCCACTTACATATTAGCTTCCATCTCCTCCTGCCACTCAACACTGTTTCTCCAGCCGTCCCCACTGTCTCCTGCATTTCCAGTTTTCCCTGTTGGGTCATTCCTGTCAGCATAAAAATATGTTGTCTTTTCCCTAATCTTTAAGAAGCAAACATCATAGAAGAAAACTCCTCTGATTCAGCTTCTTCTCCTTGTACTATGCTGCCTATTCATAGTGAGAAAAATGCAGTAGGTTTTTTCCTCACTGTTGGGATTGGCAAAACCCCAAATCTTTGTAACACATTCTGTGGACAAGGCTTGTGGAAAAACTCATATGTGTTGCTGGTAGAAGTGCAAAATGGTACAATTTCTATGCAGGGGAATCTGACAATATGTATCAAAACTATAGATGATTTACCCTTTCTTCAATAATCTCAGAGAATCAGTTCAAGAAAAATACTTGTATGTACAAAATGACATATCACAAGGCTGTTTGCTGAAACTCTATTTATTATAGCTAAACTTTGAAAAAAATCTTAATTGCCCATTAATAACAAATTGGCTAAATAAACAATACTACAATCATATAATGGAATTTTATGCAGCAGTTAAAAAAGGATAAGATCTCTAAGCATTCATATGGAAATATCTCTGTTGATAAATTAAAAATACAGGCCGGGTGGGGTGGCTCACGCCTGTAAGCCCAGCACTCTGGGAGGCTGAGGCGGGTAGATTGCTCGAGGTTAGGAGTTAGAAGCCAGCCTGAGCAAGAGTGAGACCCTGCCTCTACTATAAATAGAAAGAAATTAATTGCCCAACTAATATATATAGAAAATATGAGCCGGGCATGGTGGCACATGCCTGTAGTCCCAGCTACTTGGGAGGCTGAGGCAGCAGGATTACTTGAGCCCAGGAGTTTGAAGTTGCTGCGAGCTAGGCTGACACCACAGCACTCAGTCTAGCCTGGACAACAAAGCGACACTCTGTCTCAAAAAATAAATTAATTAATTAATTTATTAATTAAAAATACAAAGTACGTAGTAATTTTTACAATTTTTGCCCTTTTGCAAAAGAAGGAGGAATAATAATACATATTCCTATTGACTTGAATTTGCATGAAGAAACTTTAAATAAAAGCTTAAAAAAATGATTACTCATAAAGGCTAAGGAATTGGAAGAAAGTCTATTCTAGTAATTTCCAGTCTCCTATTTTCTGTTTTAAGCTCTCACATACGTTTATACAAAATATAAAATGATGATTTTCTCATATCATGTGTTATATTTTCTTTGGAACAAAAAAATTCCCAGTTTATAATACTTGCTAAATTTTTAAATTGTATTTTACCATAAAAATTTTTTTTATTCTATTCCTAGATCCATATTTATTCTCTTGGAATGACATTGTATTGGGGGGCTGATCATGAAGTACCTCAGAGCCAAGTAAGTCAAGTTTCTACATTTGTCACCTTTTGTACATTTGTATAATTTTACTCTTTTTAAAAAAGCTCTTCCACGTATTTATATGTGTTTTACAGCATGCTGTCAGGCACACCAGTATTTCTATGCTGGTTGTTCATATTTATAATGTCACACTTTCAGAATGAACTAACAAAGTACTGAAGAAATTATTTTGAGATGTTCTTACAATCGTGGCAGTCACTATTCAGGTTTCAACAATTCAGTTTGTGATGTGGAGCTGGCCTCTTCAGAAATTATGGCTAGAGAAATGGAAGTATATTTTATTTAATTTGATGACTGGTAAAAGGGATTGTAAATATTTTTGATGATTCATTCTTGCACTGAAAACAATACCTTTTTTCATGCAAAAACTCTAGGAATTATTGCCTAACTATGTTTCAGGGTATAGTATGAGACAACTTAATTACTTTTTTCTATTGGCATTTCAGAATCGTACTTCACTACCCCTGTAACAACAGACACATTAAATTAATATTTTCTGAGGCCTTAGGCTCTGATGACCATTGGATTGCTTCTAGTCATTATTTGCTAAAATAATTCTGATTCTTAAAGACCGATATAAACATAGTAGTAAACAGTAATTAAAAATTTTAAAATAGCTGTATTTCATCAAGGCAAAGATGCAATATATAGAATTATATTTTAAACCTTTAGAAGTCAAAAATAAAAATAACTAGGTATATTTTTTATTAAATATAAGAAATAACAAGTATTTTAGGCTTTAACTAAAATACAAATATCTTAAGATCTATCAAGGATAAATGATATTCTTCAACTTGGTTTGGCTTCATTTTATATCATGAAAAATACTGTAGATTTTCTTTCTCACTTCAGTTTTAATTCTATAAATATAAATGAGACAAGTTACATTATTACTGGAAATATCGATGTCATATATTATGCAACCTAACTTACATGTAAAATGTGATCATAGTCTATAATTAACACTTTATACTTTTAACTAAAGAAATAAAGTCAAATATTAATAATGTATAAATTAGAGAGGAAATATAAACTTGTATTTTATGGTCAGAAATCATAATCATTTTAGAAACATTGAATATTAAAAGTATTTAATGTTAATTATTTCAATAATTAAAGAATTTAATATTAAGTGTCTACCTAATGTCAGACACTGTACTAGACATTAAGGACTATAGTGACCCTTACCTATGGAGTTTATTGGAAGGAACAGATAGCTAAATAGTCAATAACAACGTGATACCATGAATGTTGTTAAGGAAAATGGAGGGTGCCGTGATAAAACAGAGTTGGAGTTTCTGGGTAGACTTGGAGGGTAAGGACATGTTTCTTAAAGGACATTGCCTCTAAGCTGAGACCTAAAGGATGAAATCATACCCAAGTGGATGAGAAGTGGAAGAGTCAGAGGGAAGGCATTTGTTTAAACCAAAGTGGGTGTGCCACTTTAAACTCTCATCATCATGTGAGTTTCAGGTGCTCCACTCCTTACCGATACTTTGTATTATTCATCTTTTTGTTTTTAACCATTTTATTGGGCATGTAGTGGCTTCTTGTATGGTTTCAATTTGCATGTCTTAGTGAACAATGATGCTGATCACCTTTTCATATGCTTATTGGCCATTTAAGATATAATATTCTACAAAATATGATAATAAAAAAATTTAGGCCAGGCGTGGTGGCTCACACCTGTAATCCTAGCACTTTGGGAGGCCGAGGCGGCGGATTGCTTGAGGTCAGGAGTTCAAAACTAGCCTGAGCAAGAGCGAGATCCTGTCTCTACTAAAAATAGAAAGAAATTAATTGACCAACTAAAAATATATATACAAAAAATTAGCCGGGCATGGTGGCGCATGCCTGTAGTCCCAGCTACTCTGGAGGAGGCTGAGGCAGGAGGATAGCTTGAGCCCAGGAGTTGGAGGTTGCTGTGAGCTAGGCTGATGCCACGGCACTCACTCTAGCCTGGGCAACAAAGTGAGACTCTGTCTCAAAAAAAAAAGAAAGAGAAAAAATTTACTTTCTGGCTTCTCTAACCAGCATAATGAGGATTTATATTTAAATGATCTTGGGTCATTACAATATTTCAGATCTCTTTTAAGTCATCATGGGAATATCAAATTATATAAGTTGAATGTATCACATTTCATTGAATATTAGGAAATAGTTTGTTCCCCTAAAATGTTGTATATGTAGTAACTGTTTATCAAAATATTTTAATAACCCAAGAGTTCCACTTCTTTATCATAACAACAACAAAAAAGGCCCAGAGTTTTTCTCTAAAACTTCCCTATCTAGGGGGCGTGTAATTTAACCAGCTTCTGCTAATAATTTTTTGAACCATAAAAAGGTAAAATACAGTAAGATATGTATGCTAATAGAAATGGAATTCATTTCCTCCAAGTACTCATGTTTTTTTACATGGCTTTTCCTTTCTCTATTTTCAGCCTATCAAGCTGGGAGATCATCTCAACAGTATACTGCTGGGAATGTGTGAGGATGTTATTTATGCTCGGGTTTCTGTTCGGACTGTCCTGGATGCTTGCAGCGCCCACATTAGGAATAGCAATTGTGCACCTTCATTCTCCTACGTGAAACACTTGGTAAAACTGGTTCTGGGAAATCTTCCTGGGGTAAGCTACAGTTGCAATAGTAAATATAGTCATATTTTAAAATTTAGTAGCATATCACAAAGTTTTCTTTAAAGATACTATATAGGTAGCCTTTTCTCAATTAAAACTGGAAGTGGGAAATAGAATTTTTTGTTCCAATGTAAATTATTGAAACGATACTTAAAATTTACAAGCCCGTTGCAATAAGTCTTCTAGATTTCATAAGAGTTAGTCTTCCTTTAGAAGACTAACTCTTTAGGGGAATAAAGTTAGAAGACTAACTTTATTCCTCAAAATATCATAGAATTATAGCATGTTTGAGCTAGAAATGACCCTTCTGCCTCCTTTCTTAGCTCTTTTCCTAAGATCTAAGTTTTTAGCAAGTGGTTCTATTTGTTCTGAATACTTAGAGAAATGCATTAACATGCAAAATGGGTTTTAGAAAAATTAAATTTCACTTTCTATTGCATTATACCTCTTCCTTGGCCACCCATTTGGCCATACTTGTCTAGATTTCCTTGGTATTCTCCAAACCTTCCCTACCATCCCACCTTCTCTGGACACTTGTACCTTGTATGTAGAGAGGATCTTTGCTTGTATCCTTACCAGATTACCCTAAGACCTTGCCTCTTCCATTTTCTTTCTTGTCTTGGATATGAAGAATATATCAAACTCAAGAATAACAAACAAATGCTATATCTGAGAGTCCTACCTGTGCTGTACATTTCTTAAACTATATTCTGTCCTGTTTGCCCTAGTTTGGGATACTCCTTGGTTTTCTGATCTCTGAGCTGGATATACATTTTATCTGCTCCTTACTCTCTAGGATTATGATCCCTGAGTAGTGATTCTTCTTTTTGTGTGGGCTACAAATTTGCTACTGTCACATAGTGTTCTTGCTGGCTTCCTCTCAATTCCTCATTGCTAAGGGTTTAGGTCCCCTCTCTCTCTCTCTCTCTTTTTTTTTTTTTTTTTGAGACAGTCTCGCTTTGTTGCCCAGTCTAGAGTGAGTGCCATGGCATCAGCCTAGCTCACAGCAACCTCAGACTCCTGGGCTCAAGCGATCCTCCTGCCTCAGCCTCCCGGGTAGCTGGGACTACAGGCATGCGCCACCATGCCCGGCTAATTTTCTCTCTATATATTAGTTGGCCAATTAATTTCTTTCTATTTATAATAGAGACGGGGTCTCCCTCTTGCTCAGGCTGGTTTCGAACTCCTGACCTCGAGCAATCGGCTCGCCTCGGCCTCCCAGAGTGCTAGGGTTACAGGTGTGAGCCACCGGGCCCGGCCTACGTCCCCTCTCTTAACCAGGATGTTGGATGGCTGCCAGGAATCTACCCAAATTCCACACCCTTTGCCAGTTTATAAGAAACAGACCCAGAGATCTTCTAGACAAATAGTTTGTAAACTGTCCTCCATGAAATCTTTGTGGTTCTGTAGTGAAGGGGAATAGAGGTAGTAGAAGCTGAATAAATGGGGTTCTTGGTTGCCTACTTCCGCTCTTTAACCAGAGCAGTCCAGTTTTATTTGATTTGTTTATATTTCTGCATGTAATTTCTTTTTGAATAAAGATTAAGCTATTAAAAATCTATGAAAGCTCTCTGTTCAGACCAAAGTTTCTCACATTGTTTTCAATATATTTTTGTTAAAAAAATTCTTCTGTGATCAAATAGGCTTTAAAAAAAACTATTTAAAGGAAATTAAATATATTTTCACTGCAGAACTTCTCAGAGCCTTTAATATACTAGACTATATTACTAATCTTCAAGAGGAATATAGGCACATAGATGAAACATTTCCCAAACTTATTTGGTATAGGAGGTCTTTTTTACAGATCTTCTTATAACACTAATATTCCATAAAATTTCACTTTATAGATGAGGAAATGGAGACCTGAACAGTTATGGAATTTTAGTTTCTTATTAGTCAGTCCAGGGACTTTTCTATTACACCATACCTTCTCTAAGACCTTTGTGCTGTTTGGTGATTTTACTCCCATAGTAAAATTGCTAGAAGTGGTTTTTTTTTTTTTTTTTTTTTGTCTTGGCATGAAGAAATATTCCTCCATAGAAATTCTATTATCTATCCAAAAATTGCCCATATTACATAAAAAATTTTCCATCCCTTTAAGGTCTAGCATTTAGTTCAGTGTATTACGATAGATATTTATTGCTCATCTATGTATGAAACTGATGGGTGAGGGATGGTGCGAAGGTGTGTGCCCCTTATAATAGTGGAGAGCTTTGGCACACGTGCATTGTCTCTGAAGTCTTCAGCAAGAGGGTTTGCTGCGGATGTTAATTTTATGTTGTGGAGGCTGTTTACTTTGGCTTCTCTGTATCTATTGACTACCCTTTTGAGCAAAATGAAGGTGTTTTTTATAAAGAAAAAAAAAGACTATAGAAGGTACAAATTTGAATAAAATATTTGATCTAAGAGCTCTTGTCTAAAATGCTATAACTGTTTGCTTACTTATGAAATGCAAAGTGGGCTGTGAAGAGTAAAATGGTAAAAATTTTAAAAGCTATGAGAGTTTGAGGGGAAAGGACACAGATTTATGACTGCATTGAAAAAATAGCACTTTGAACTAAATCTTAAAGGCTTACAGTAATCTTGGCAGACACAAGTGAACCTGTATAAATGCTGTGAAATGGGAAAGAGCAGGGTATGTTTGGGGAACAGTAATCAGGTGATTACTGTTGTGGGGTTATTTAGTGGAAGAGAAAAATAGAAGGATCAATTGGAATCAGCATATAGAGAGCCTGCCTTTACAAAGTGTAATAATGTCCCCCCTCCCTTTCCATTGCTCTTCCTAGATGTCACTGGACAGAAATAACTCCAACAGCTACTGTTTTTTAAGTGCTTACTTTGTGCCAGGCACTGTGCTAAGTGGTTTATATGTATGATCACATTTATTCATTATAACAACCCCACGTTAAAAAAAGATGCTTTTTATTATCATTTTAGAGATGAATGAACTAAAGCTAAGAAAGAGTAAATAACTTGCATATGGCTACATATATGGTAAATAACAAAGACATAATCAGAGTTGGGGAATCTGACCCCAAAACCCATGCTCTCAGCCATTATGCTCCTTGAGAGCTGTTGTTGCCTCCAGTAGCTGATAAATTGAGTTAGTCTTTCAGTTAGTATGAAATTCATTCTAAGTGATCATAAGTCTTACTCACTTAAAATTAATTTGTGTGGAGTAAAAGTCAGCAGGCCAGCTTATTTGTCCTTGTTCATCTGCCGATTTAATGTTACAATATTTTGACCTCAGTTTTACTTATCTATAAAATCGGAATAATAGTACATTGCCACCCACCCATATTACTGAACAGTTGTGAAGATAATTATTTCAGTATTGATGAGCTACTTTATGGTCCTTAGATGCTTCTTTGCCATTTTTCTCCTTTTATCTGTGGTATGAGGATAATAATATCTTCCATATAAGGTTTTGAGGATTAAATAAGATGGAAGGAGATATAAATGAAAGAAGACAGAATGGTGAAGAGAAATTACTTAAATCTGGCACTGAAAGCATGTATACATGTTTGTTTATTTACATATACACAAAAAAATTTTTAATATTTCTCCATTACCGAAACTGAGTATGGTTGATTAAAATCCTAAGGTAGTATATTTAAAGCTCAAGCATTATGTTTCCTACTTATAAGAAGACTTAAATGGAAATATTTCTGAAATATCATTTAAATTATAAAAATATCTTTTTCTGAGTGAGAAGACAGAGATAAAATAAATAAATAAATTATAAAAATGTTGTTAGGCCTGATTACACTACACTATCAGTGACTAAAAAAGATAGTGAACATTCCTGCATCTTTGGAAGTCTCTGCATTATATATTAATAATAGCTACTGTTTATATTGAACAGTTACTATATACCAGGTGCTGCCTTAAGTGCTTTTACACACTTTATGTTATTTAAATGACATAAAGTAAGCACTTAAAAAACAGTAGCTGTTGGAGTTATTTCTGTCCAGTGACATCTAGGAAGAGCAATGGAAAGGGAGGGGGGGGCATTATTACACTTTGTAAAGGCAGGCTCTCTATATGCTGATTCCAATTGATCCTTCTATTTTTCTCTTCCACTAAATAACCCCACAACAGTAATCACCTGATTCCTGTTCCCCAAACATACCCTGCTCTTTCCTATTTCATAATATTTAAACATAAATAACATTAAATAACATAATACTTAAGAACATTTGTGTGTGTATATAAATAAACAAACATGTATACATGCTTTTGGTGCCAGATTTAAGTAATATCTCTTCACCAGTCTGTCTCCTTTCATTTATATCCACTTCCATTTATATTTATATCACTTCTCCTTTAACTGCTTATCTAAATACACCAATGTTCTGTCAAACTTTTTGTCCCTTTTAATGTGGAATTTGACCTAATTTGACATACTTTATTTTAAACAAATACCTTTGGTTAAAGTTCTTATAGTTTAAGACTACTAAACATTTTGTTATAAAAGGGACTGAAAAGAGCATTGATTTAAATGTAATTGTCATCCCCCAAGGTGTACATTTAAAGACTTAGCATTTCTCAAATGTAATTTCTGGTAGGCAATACCTACAAAATTATTTCTGAAAATAATTTAAATCCCTCAATGCATAGTGATAGTGAGGAGAAATCTTTATTATACTAGAATTAATGTGGTTTTTAAATTATACTTTAACTTGAGAGATGAAAGTAGTTATCAATTTGGTGGAAAAAAACACTTCAAGTTTAACTGTTTTCAAATGGAACTCATTTTAACTACTTTAATCTGCCTGACTGTGTTTTCTAGTTGGTAGATTACTCTTTGGCAACTGTTTCTTGCCTTTGATTTCCTGAAAATGAATTGGCCAGTATTGAGCTGCATAAACCTTATGTAAGAAATATAAATTATTGTATACAACAGTAGGACATAGAGTCTCTTAATTTTATATCCTCCAAAAACTGTCTAACTAGTGTCATTCTGTAGACATTTATTACCATGAAAACAAAAGGGAGATTCTTTGTCAAACTTGATTTTTGATTGCCTGTGTACAGATGGATCAACTTCCCGGTAACAGTGAACAAAGGCCTGATCGAAGCCAGGCTATTCGAGACCGATTGAGAGGAAAAGGATTACCAACAGGTAAGAGTAGATTAATAGGAAGTTTTCAGGCTTTAATCTTATTCCATGTTTCCTTTACAAAATTATGCTTAACTGGCTTGAAAATCTGGTAATCATGACTATGATTAGAACATAAATGTGCAAAGTGGAGGCAGGGAACAGACAAGAAAACTAGCTACATAAATAATGTCATTAAAGTTATGCAGAAAGTGTTTTTAATAACACAGTAAATTATTTCCCTTTCCAGTATTGTTATATCAATATCATCATTTGTTTACTTTATCTCACAATATTTTATATTAAAAGTACATTTTCTAGCATGATCAAATAAATACATATATGTTTATGAACATAAACACAACTGAAACAAACATTTCAGAAAACATTATTCTTACTTAACTACACTGATATTTCCTATTCTATGTCTTAATGCTAGTCATAACCTACAAAATTAATTTCATGACTGACTAATTTCATGACTTGGAGTTATTAAATACTACCTTAGGTTATATGATGCTTAGTATGTAAAACTAATGATGAATAGTGGTTTTGCTATTTGCCAATAGCATTATATAATTATAAGTCCTATGATAATTATTAAATTGATTTTTTTAATGAATGGAAATTCCAAATGCTTGAAATGAAAGTATTTAAATAAATTTTATATGACAATTTATTTTTTTCAGCATTTAAGTTTCAGGCTTGGCTTGTTTATAAAATAAACTTTTGATTTTGCTGATTATCTTTATTCTCTTCTCATCAAGCAATATTGAGAATCATGATCATCTAAACATTAACAAAAATATTTTGTGAGTGAACTATTTTATTGTTTTAGATCTTGGGGCTAAGAAGAGTTAATTGTAAAGGTTGCTTAAATATATTCTATATTCTACTCCATATAGTCTAATAAAATAGATTAAAAAGTTAAGATGCTTAATTTTTTTTTTTGTTTTTTTTTGTTTTTTTTGTTTTTCTTTTAGGCAAGTACTTAAGGGTTGAAGGATGCTTAATTTTAATTTAACCAGACCATGAGAGCACAGCTGTGTTATTTAAAATGTGTGGGAAACTCTCATTGTGAAAACTAAATATAGACACTTGATCATCTGAACCAAATATTTTGTAGAATTCGGAGCTCTCATGTCTGACAGGAAAGAATGTGTCCTAAGCAAGTGTACTGCTTATCTTGAGAAATCAAAGAAAAGCAGTAAAATTGTATCTAATGGAGTGATTCTATAATGGTGCAATTAGTTAAATATCTGTTTTAGTGCTTCCATTTTACTTATTGTGAATAAGGACTGTTTTTCTGGGAGGTATTTTAGCTTTTTAGATTTTCATATCATCAATATAGAAAATTTATTTCTGGTTAGATCAAGTTTCTTTTCTAATACATATATTATTAGTTTATATGTGGGTCAAAATAAACACACAAGATGGGCTTGCTAACTTTTTACAGTGCTTTGATGGCAATTTAAGAAAGTATTTTTAATCCTTTCTTGCAAATGTTTCCTTACTATACTTATGTCCCCGTATATAGAGGCCCACTTTCTTCTTATAGATAAGAATCCGTTTCCTTTTATACCATACTAGGATTTGAGATAGGATATAGTGTGAACCTTGGTGCTAACAAGAGCAGCAATTTGTTAATCCATCAAATGTTCACTTAGTCTCTTATTTTAGAACTAAATAATAATAGAAAATTATAGATGAATGTCAATAGTGAGCTGAAAGAATCTTTTTCAAGGGACATAATGAACACTTTAATAAGTGAAACATTAGATTTAAAAGATATTATCATTTCTCTTATTTATCCTCTTTCTATTTTGTCCCTCCTCTCCTTTCCTCCCCACACCTACCTCCTTCCTTCTTTTCCTCCCTTCCTCCTTCCTTCCTGATTTTTCTTTCCTGTTCTTTGTCTGATCTCTTTCTGGGGTTTCCTACTGTCATTTCCTTCTACCATTAAGTGGCCATGTTGTGGAATTGCAATTTGTTTATTTATTACTTCTTGATTTAGTAAATATAATGTTATGTTATTAATAATTTTTATTTTTCTAAGAATAAAACATATTTATATATATGAGACTCCCATTTCCCCTATCCATTATGGGTCTATAGAAAGAAAAAAGATCACCCCTGCCATATTTAGTTTATCAAATTTTAAATAATAGCAGATGTTAACATAATTTATATACTTTCAGTGATTCAGAGTCTTAATGTTTCAGACATTAATTGTTACATAGTATTTTAGAGATAGCAATTAGAGGTTGAATTGAATCTCTACCAACTCTATAATATACCTTAAGTAGCAAGTTATTTACTTGTCATTTACATTTATTTATTTAGTTTATTAGGCTCCTGACCACAGTCATCAATAAAGAAAATGTCAAGTGAGATACAGAATTAGATGAAAAGAAGTAAGCAAATTTAGGGATAATAATGCCTTATATCTAATGATTTAATTGCTCTACTAAAGCTTAGTATTATCTTTCATCCTTAAAAGATTTCTTCTTATGTCCTACCTCTGAGATCTATCGCAGAAGCTAAGGCCTAAAGTAGTGAGCTATCTGCCCCCACTTTGTTACTTAATACTACCAATGCTGATAAAATGGCTTCTCCGAGCAGAAAAAACATCAAACATTTCCTGCCAAGCTTAAGATGGAACCTTACACCATTATCAGATCAGCATGATGATGCTTCAGAACTTAGGTGTATTGATAATATCATGTTTCTTTTCTTTTCTTTTTTTTTTTTTTGGTATTTGAACATATCTGTGAGGACAGATGGGAAATTGGGGAGCCTCTTTTAATATCAAAATGCCATTTTGATGTTAATTTTCAAGAGATGCTGTGAATTTTTGAGTCTGTGTGGAAGGGGAAAGGTGAATCATGCTATCCAATTTAGGGTAATGTTAATCACATATAACAAAAATAGTTAAAATACAATGTGCTTTTTAAGGAAGTTTTTTTTTTTCAATTTAACTAAAATAAATGGAATGTGTTCTATTACAAAGACTTTTTATGTTCTTGAAATTTTATCCATGGAATATAAAACCAAAGTCTTTTATTTATAAATAAAGTATATTTTTTATTCCCCATTTAGTTTTTTAGCAAGCTATGCATTCTCTAAAAGGAAATGTTTAAGGATTCATTTTAAATTTGGATGGTTATAATTGTATGTAATCTAATGTTATCTGAAAACTTTCTCTGAACTCAGAGCCTCCCCAAGGGCTGGAAAATCCACTTATAGTCACTACTCACCGTATTTTGAACAATGTTATGCTTTTTATTACAGAATAAATATAAAACTTTAATGGGAGATCTTCTGACCTCTGGTTTTATTATTTCCTTTCAAAAGAATATTTAATCTCCCCTCAGTAGAAAGTTATGTGCTAAGAAAATAAAGCAGAAATAGAAAAGGGAGGCAAAATTTAGATTTTTATATTGCCCTTATTCAGAAGAGTTCTGGTTCGTATGTGTTAGTTCATTTATCCTGTCATCTATAACAAAGCATGATAAATTATATCCACATTTTTGTAGATGATGAAATGAAAAACATGGAAATTTAGTGGCTTGCCCAAACTCATAGATTGAGTGGAAAGCCAGAATTAAAACCCAGGTCTGTTGATAGTAATCTTTCTGGTAGATTATGCTACCTAAATTGGCTTTACATGGTTCAGAAAGTTGTGTAATCAATCCATTCTATAAGCATTCTTTTGGAATCTACTTTATCAGAAACTGGAAATACAAAAACAAGTAAGACACAGTGTCCTTCCTTATGTTATTGTTCCAGGTGGGGGTGGGGAAGCAAGTGGGAGTGATGACAGATATATAATACAGTGGATAATTTTAATACAGTGAGACAAGGGTCCTAATTAAGGTCCCGTGTGCTCTGTGGATATAGTGAAACTCTGCCAGGATGGGGGAATTATCAAGGAATGTTCCACCTGAAATAGTTTAAGAGTGGCTCCAGTAGCATTGCTTTCAAAAAACATTAATTTCCTGTGATCAAACTGTATAGTGAGCGCAGCTATTAGATGTACTCAATGATTTCAATGTTATTTATTGCCTATTAGGTAAAATAATTATAATAGCCTGAACACATATTTAGAAAAATTTGGAAAGCAGTTGAAGAAATTGCATTTTATCTAATCTCAAATGCAATTATTAAGTGGCTCTACTGGTGTTAATAACAGTACATGATCTTGACTGGTGTAGCAGGCTCAAGCATCTAATAACTACGAGCCTAGAATTCCATGTTTCTCCTCACTTATTTGGCCATAGTCTATATTTGAACTCTGATTTTGAGCTCCTAGATTAGTGAAAATTTCCTCTAGGGCTTTAGCAACATAAAGCAACTATAATGCTACGTTATACCATCACTTTATTTAGTAAGATTTGTGATTGTCAGAACTGATTTTTTATTAAAAATAGTACATATTTTGTTTTACATAAAGAAACATCTTTTGCAGAGGATAAGAACCTTATCAGCCTGTGAAGTGTCAATCAGGCAATTAAATATCCAGTTGTGTAGTTGAAAATAGTGAGCATCATCAACGTGACAAAATGCAGTGAGACTCCTGCCAGTTAGTAGTATTTGATTTAAGAATTGTGTGTTTGTACCAGCTGAAATCCACCTCTCTACAATGTACCATACCTAAAGATGTGTCTCCTTTTTCCTCCAAAAGCAAACAAAAGCAGTCCTAGGCTAATAGATTCACTGGAGAAACCACTTAGCTCAAACCATTTCTTTTTGACCATTTGCTTTCTCTTCCTTCATCCATACTCAGTTTCTCCATTGAATGCTTTTGTGGTTCATAGCTCTTAAAATTTTGCTTTAGACTATCTCTGACAAGTGTGTGTGCCTGTGGGTCTGTGTATTGTGTGTATATATATATATATATATATCTCACTTTGAATCTTGTGTCACACTTTCTCAACTTTTTGCTCAATTTCCTCAGGAGTATTACTACCCTCCTTAGCTTCCTTTTTTTTTTTTTTTTTTTCCCCCGAGACAGGAGTCTATTGCTATGTTGTCTGGGCTAAAGTGCCGTGGTGTTAACCTAGCTCACAGCAACCTCAAACTCCTGGGCTCAAGTTATTCTCCTGACTCAGCCTCCCAAGTAGCTGGGACTATACAGCTATCATGCCTAGATAATTTTTTCTATTTTTAATAGAGACGGGGTTTCGCTCTTGCTCAGGATGATCTCAAACTCCTGAGCTCTAACAATCCTCCCGCATCAGCCTCTCAGAGTGCTAGGAGTACAGGTGTGAGCCACCATGCCCAGCCCAGCTTTCTTTCTAGCTCCTCTATTTTACCATCCCTTTCTTGGTCCTATTTGCCACCAGAAGAGATCTTAATTATAACTCAAAATCATTTTTTATAAGTAATTATCATAACATTTTGTTAGCTATAATAATGTGATTTTAAACATACAGAGCAAATAGAGCCATACTTAAATTGATATATTTTGTAGGAACAGTAGAGTATTAGTGAAAATTTTTAAACGAAGTACTTTCACTTAATTTGGTACTGCCTTATATGATTTATTTATTTATTTATTTATTTATTTATTTGAGACAGAGTCTTGCTTTGTTGCCCAGGCTGAGTGAGTGCCGTGGCATCAGCCTAGCTCACAGCAACCTCAAACTCCTGGGCTCAAGCAATCCTGCTGCCTCAGTCTCTCAAGTAGCTGGGACTACAGGCATGTGCCACCATGCCTGGCTAATTTTTTTCTATATATATTAGTTGGCCAATTAATTTCTTTCTATTTATAGTAGAGACAGGGTCTCGCTCTTGCTCAGGCTGGTTTCCAACTCCTGACCTTGAGCAATCCACCCACCTTGGCCTCCCAGAATGCTAGGATTACAGGCGTGAGCCACCGCGCCTGGCTGTGCCTTATGGGATTTAAAATAACTTCCTGGACTTTTAATAAACACAGACTGAAATATTTTGATATCCAGTTAATTCGCATTAAGAATAAAAACCTGGCATTTGTAAAGTAGTAGCTATCCAAGAGCCACTTTATTAGTAATTAGTTTTAAGCCTCATGTGGCTAGTGAGAAGACATAGCTCTCTTAAGATAATATGGCCCATTTGTATATTGTAAGTAAATACTAATGACCTAAAAGACAATGATAAGTTTACCTGATTGAGGGAAGTAGGGATGAGACTAAAAACGATTCCAGTGGCAGACTCAAAAGGAGTTCAGATTGAATTGAACATATAATAGTATGCCTTTAAGACTTAGTAAGCAGGACAATGACATCTTGGGATTTACATTTTAAAAAGATATTCTGGGAGCTATTGGAGAATTGTTGGATAAGGGTAGTAGAAGAAACAGGGAGGCCCATCCGGAGGCCGCTGCAATGATCTGGTCAAGCAATAATATTAATTGGGAATAGGGTGATCACAAATGGATGGAAATAATCACATAAAGATATCTTGAGAATTTAAATAGTCAGCATGTACTGATGTACTAATTTTTACTTATTCTTTAATCCTCGATGTAGTTAAAACCAGTAAGTCATTCCACTTTATTACAACTCACTAATATTGATACAGTGTGCTCTAGAGGAAAAAACTATTTTAGTACATGATGGTCTGCCATGAAAAAATTAAGTTTCTGGTATAACTTAAACACAATCAAATTATCTGCATTTCAAACACAATAAAATTTTCTGAAAATATCTAATTATAATAAAACTTTAATACTTAAGAATTCCAAATGCTACAGTCTTATTTCCATCCAGAATATAGCAAGAATTCTGTTTCTTCTTTAAACATGTTGATTTAAAAGACCAGAATATACCAGGGCTTTATACTGATATATGTTTGAGTTGTACCTTTAGAAGTTAAAGTAATTCCTTATACATTCTTTTATTGCCCCAAATAATTTCTTGGTTGATTAATATCCTACCAGACTAAATAGCATGAGAAACTTTTGTATAATTTTTAGATTAAATAATTTACTTTTGATGAATATAAAATAATACCACTCAAAAAAGCAAGTTCAATATGTTATTGATTTTATCACAAGACATTGGGCTTTGAAAAGTTATGCAAACATAGCATCTCTTTCATCTTCCACTATCACCATCACCATCACCACTATCTCATTTCATCTCTGATCTTCCATTTGGAGAATTTAGGAAATTACCACCACTTTTATTGTCAATAGTGGGTTACATTCCAATTTATTTTCTAAAAATTCTGTGCATACATGATAGATTCTTATCATTCCAGGAAGAAGCTCTACTTCTGATGTACTAGACATACACAAGTCTCCATTCTCTCATCAGACCTTTCTTAACAAAGGGCTTAGTAAATCTATGGGATTTCTGTCTATCAGAGATACACAAGATGAGGAAGATCGTTTCAAGGACATTTTATCAGATAATAATTCTGGGCATGAAGATTCTGAAAATACGTGCTCCCCTTACCAGTTCAAAACTAGTGGCCCAGAAAAACAAGTTATCCCTGGCATTGATGTGCTTCCTAAGAAGAAAATTTGGGCTTCATCCATGGACTTGCTTTGTACAGCTGACAGAGACTTCTCTCCTGGAGAGACTGGCACCTCCCGCCACTGTCACCCAGTTACAGTGCGGACTTCAACTACTCCTAGAAAAAAAGAGGCAAGATACTCAGATGGAAGTATAGCCTTGGATATCTTTGGCCCTCAGAAAATGGATCCAGTATATCACACTCGAGAATTGCCCACCTCCACAGCAATATCAAGTGCTTTGGACCGAATCCGAGAGAGACAAAAGAAACTTCAAGTTCTGAGAGAAGCCATGAATGTAGAAGGTCAGTAATTTTGTGTGTGTCTGAGAGAGAACTGAATTGAAATATTTAAAATTGTGTTTTGAAATAAAAAAGGGTTATTAAATCATTCCACAAGTCTTATCTTCACTGCCAAACCTTCGAACCCAAATTAGTCTCTTCTCTGTCAATTTCTGTTCTCCCTTCCACCAAAACCCTAGTCAAAATACTCTGCTTCCACAAAGTTATCCTTCCTACACATGCCTGGTCCAGTCACTTTATAGTCTCTCAATATTTTGGGTAGCATATTTTTAGATTGTAAGCTTCTCAAAGGCAGGAGGCATGTTTTCTACTTGTTTTTAGTTCTCCACAGCACCATCTATCATGTACTATCTCATGGGAGGCTTCAGTACATGAGTGGTTCATGAAAATAAGCAGCTAATCAAACCCAGCAATCCTGGGGAGGCAGAGTAGCATGGTGAGGGTGAGATGCCTCCCCAACCACCAGCTTCAAACAACAAATTTTAGAGCACAACTGTAAGAGATTATGATTCGCTTAATCTGGAAGAAAGTTTTGAATCTATATTTTTAAAGTCATAGTACTGTTTAGGTTCATAGTTGTAGAGTAGACAGCCTAGCTCTGAATTAGTTACTCCATTTAGTAGCTAATCTTTAGTAGTAATCTTTACTTGGTCTTCATCTCTCCAAGTGTAAGTTACTCATCTGTAAAATGGGCTTGCCAAAAATAGATTAATTATGTAATGAATGTAAAGTGATTCATATTATTAGTATGAGGAGTATAAAAATAACTTTATAAATGTTATGCCTGTTATTCCAGGGCAAAGCTCTATTTCAAAAGTACCTGATTCACACATAAATTCAATATACTAAATGAAATAAAATTATGTTCCAGACATATAGAGGGTGTATTTAGGTTAGTATAAATATATGCAAGAAAAAACAAATAGGAGAGAATTATCAATCTAATTCTGTATATTTTTTAAGATTAAAGTTTTATAACTGCCCTTGACTCCTAGACAAATCCAAGGACATAGCTAATTAAAGGGAAATTTAAGGTGCTTTCTAGTTCAAAGAGAAGAGTGACATAATTAAGGGTCATATTCATCTTTAACACCATTGTGCCAATATATTTTTAAAGTATACTTCTAAAGGTCTGTCACTCTGTTACTGAAGTTTTAAGCATAGTTCTGAAGCTGAACATACTTTCCAAATTTGGCTTTACTTACAGTAAAAGAAGCTTTGCAATTTTTTTTCAATTCAGCAGTTGCAAATTAGTAAAGAATTTGAAATTATGGAGGAAATTATTGAGTACTTAATTGATATTATAGGTTTTTGTATAACATGCATTTTTTTTTTTTTTTTTTTTTTTTGAGACAGAGTCTCGCTTTGTTGTCCAGGCTAGAGTGAGTGCCGTGGCGTCAGCCTAGCTCACAGCAACCTCAATCTCCTGGGCTCGAGTGATCCTTCTGCCTCAGCCTCCCGAGTAGCTGGGGCTACAGGCATGCGCCACCATGCCCGGCTAATTTTTTTTTATATATATATATATATATCAGTTGGCCAATTAATTTCTTTCTATTTATAGTAGAGACGGGGTCTCGCTCTTGCTCAGGCTGGTTTTGAACTCCTGACCTTGAGCAATCTGCCCGCCTCAGCCTCCTAAGAGCTAGGATTACAGGCGTGAGCCACCGCGCCTGGCATAACATGCATTTTTTACAAAAAAAAATTAGCCAACTCTATGTGATGGTTATATATAATCTTGATCTGAAAACTTTCAAAAACATATAATAAGAATTTAGAAAATTGTTTTATGCGTAATTTCAATATTTAAATTTTGGAATTGTGACAGCAAAGAATGGGCCTTCCTATAACTTAAAAAAAAAAGGTTTTCCCTTTCATGCCTATTTAGTGTTACACAACAGCTACTATATCAACAATAATTTAGTCTGGACTTCCTATGAATTTGCCCTCATGGAGGCATTTATTTAAAAGAAATTTTGTTCCTTGTGGGAGGGAAAAACAGTCTTCAATGATTCAAACAGATAAAACCATTACAGTTTCAGAATATGACTATTTCTAACATTTAAAAGGTTGAGTAATATCTTTTAAAAATGTGAATATTAAAAATGAAATTATAATTCTTATGTGATCTAGTTTCAAAAGATTATTTTTCTTAATATTTGATAAATTAATAGTAGCATGGATTAGTGAATTTTGAGGAAACATTTTTTTTACACTCAAACCCTGGTTTCAGTGTTAAGCAGGAAAGATATCAAACATGAATGAAAAATATTTAACATGTTAAATTATGCTATAATAGTCTTTAATATATTTTTGAATAGGTGATTTCTTTTTATTACCTATAACAAAATACGTTAGATTATTGTAGCATATGATCCTATTATCTTTTGGGGTAATGTGTTCACACATGTGTATAAGTATTTAGGAAACTCAAATAGACCAACTTGTTTCCAAATATGGTTCATATCTGCAAATATGATACCTAATCCTTGTAGAGTTTTATTTGTTCAAAAGGTAGCTACCTATTATACATTATTTCCAGATTTAGAAACTTTTTATTTGTTACAGGATATAGAAGCAAAGGAAAAGCTTTCTTTTTAAAAATAAAACATGATATGCTTTGAATTGTTTCTATCCTGAAATTTTTCTTAGATTTTGAAGAATTTTCAAAAACATTTGTTCTCACAAAGAACCTACTGATTTTCCCCCAGAGGATATTTTACAACCAAGCTAAACAAACTCTGAAAATGTTGGTTTCTTATGAAAATACACCACCTTAAATAAATCTCCATTATTATTTAGTAACTTGCAAGTAGCAATAATTATGTTTGCTTTAGACTAAAAACATTATTTGAAAGAAATGTCTGAAGTTTAGAATTCAAAAGCAATAATTCTTATTAGTTATTTAATTGAGTAACTTGTTGGTTTTATTCTGTGCTGTCTTTTTCTAAAGGTGAGGTAATTTATGTTAGCTGTGCAAACAGAAGTGCAGATTGGTAATAGGAAGATTTAACTAGTATGCAAAGAAGAAAAAAGGAGAAAATCATAAATCTCATTTATCTCATTAAGTCTCATGAAAAGTAGGCTTCATGGATCCTTCTTTTGTGTGTATGTGATAAATCAAGCAGAACAGTCAGTGTCACTAATACACATTTTATTGTATACATTTCCTTTTTAAATATTTGTATTTTAAAACTTTTAAAATAAATGTTCTATACAATTTTTTGTGATCTTTAAATTTGTCAGTTGCTAATGGGTTTCAGTAATTTTAAAATTAGAAGAGGTCTTAGAGCACATGTTACCTAAACATATTCTTGGGCTTATACAGATTTAATTAACCAAGATCATGTAACTAGTTAATGATAGAGTTGCCATCATTTTGGAGATTGTAGATTTCCATTATGGATTTTCAGAGGTTTAGTCTAAGAATTCCTACTACATATTACTTCTAAATATTTTTTTTTAAGATGCAGTAGGAAAGGGGCAGGAAGAAATATAACTTGGGTTTCTCTTGTGGAAGCTTGCTTTAAAATTTGATGTCAATCTTTCTTGGCTTTATTCTTTTAAACTTGCTTTTTTTTTCACATTGGCATAGGACTATCCTATTTTTCTCTCTTCCTTTCTTCCTTACTCCCAGTATTTTCTTTTCTACCTCATTCTATTTCATCTTAAGATCTGAAAAGTTGTCTGTTTTCTAATAGGAGTATCTGACAAATATCTCTGTCTCTCTTTCTTGTGATGCAATTACCACACACACCCCATCCATTGCTCTGTGGGTTGGCAGTAGATTCCTGATTATGAGAGATTGACTTGGAAACAGTACTGTGAGTATAACATGAACAGTACTCCCACACCCTGGGTGGGGACTATGAATAGCATTTTGCTTCCAGCAGTCGAAACTCCTCTGTGTCCTGCACAATACTAGAAAGGAAAGTATAAAGAACAGACAAAACTAATTTCTACAAAAGTTGCTATGGTTAAATGTTATTTATTTAATAAGCTGTTGGTCAGTCTACTTTACCTCAAAATTAAATATTGTTTCCTTCTTTCTAGTGCTGTAACCTCTAGTCCTAGCCTAGTTTTGCCATCCTATGACTGCCCTGTGAATACAGCTTAAACTCTGTGTTGTGCAATTAGAATATGTAAACACTCGAGAATGTGAGCCATTCTTATTATTGAGGCACCTTGATGTTTCATTTGAGAAGACTGAATTTCAAAGTTTACATTTTTATAATTACATTTAAGAAAAGCAAGGAGATGAATTCATAAATGTCATGAATTCATAAATGTTCATCATGTGTGATACTTTTAAAGTTTTATATTTCATGAAAAGAGATATATTTTTTCAAAATTTATCTTTTTTTTTAAATCTAAAACTGGTAGAAATGAATTATTTCAACTTTTATTTCTTTACCTTATTTCCCTTTGAGTAGCCAAAAACAAACAAACAAAAATATATATATATGATTGGATTATTATTTGTATTATTTCATGAGCTAAAATAAATATTTTTAATATTCAGTTTCTATTTTATTTATATTAGTTGCACACAAGTAAATATTTACAAAAGTAAATATGAATAAGCAGGGATTTTATGTGATATTGGTCAAAAATCACATACATTTCAGGTAGTAATGATTTAGTCTACTGAGATGCAAATATATTGGTTTCCCTGAAGAACACACTATTATAGATGGAATCAACATCTTAGGAAGAATTAAGTGTCTACTGTGTTTCCAGAGCTAAATTTTAAAGAGATTTATAATTTAGACCAGTGTTGTCCAATAGAACTTCTTCAGTGGAGGAAGTACACAGTACAACTTCACAGTACAACTTAGTAATTACTAGACACATATGACTATTGAGCACTTGCAATGTGGGCAGTACAGCTGGAGAGCTGAATATTTTATTTTATTTAAATTTACATACTTTAGTGATTCACTAGGAGGACCGAGGAAAAAAAAGTAAATTTACATAACCACATGTGGCTAGTGGCCACTGTACTG